GTGTGCAACAAGTTTGATATAACGTCCAACAACACCAACATCAACGAAGTGGTGTTTTCAACCTGAGAAAAGTCTATGGCTCAGTTTTAGAGCTTGGATCAAGGCCGACCTGAAGACGGAAGAAGGCAAATACATACGGTCGAGAATGGGCGGAGCTACTCCACACGATGAGCAGAGTTTGAACACGAAATCCAACAAGTAATTCGTCCAAGTAGTTGCAGCAGTTCACAAAGGCGTTCGACCGAAAGGATTGTAATGTTGACCCCGGATTAACAAACCTCTGTTTATTAATGCATGAGCCCCTGCTTTTGCGTTTGAACGGTTGAGGGATGCTGCAGGCCCTTTTATTGCCCAAAGGAAAAAGGGCGCCGAGCTCTAACAGGTTATGAGCCCAAACTGCTCGCGCACATGGAGCTGATGAGGAGGCGGCGTTTGGGCCGGGTAAGCCCTGGCAGGGAAGCTGAGGAGAGCCGGGCACCGGCCGGAGAAGGCGCGCTGGTGGCAGACGAGGGTGAGCCTGCGGAGGATGGGCCAATGGGCAGTGGAGCAGTCCAGGATGCCCATTCAGCAGATGGCGCAGGTCCCGGATGTTTCGCGGGCAAGGTCAGCGTCAAGCAAGGGGAGGTGTGCCGCAGGGGATGGTGGCCGCAGAGGAGAGCTCGCGGAGCGCTTCGGCATCCAGGCAAAGGAGCACTTCGAAGCTGAGCTCTATGGGATCCCAGCGGGAGGGCACCTTTGAGGGCGAGACGCAGCGCGGAGGAGGAAGGGACCGGGCACTGCAGGCGGTCAAGGAGGACATGGAGAAGAACAGGAGCGGTCTGGAGGTAACGCCTTGAGGAGACGGCGCAGGGAGCGCCAAGCACCGGGCGGCCCTCGATGCAGATGATGGATTGGAGAAGGAGCTGGACCGGGTGTTCGTGGAGGAGTGCGGAACGGTCAGCATGAACCTGGCGGAGGCGCTGAGGCAACGGAAGCTGAAGAACAAGGTGGAGCGTCTCGAGCTCGAGAAGGTGCTGATCGAGGGCGAGGCGGAACAACATAAGCGGATGGCGGAACTGTGGGAGTCTAGGGCGCTGCAAGCTGAGCGTCATGTCGAGTTGCTGACGGACCAGATCTTGGTGTTGGAGCAGCAGCCGCCATGGTCTTGAAGGCACTCCCGGAGCAGGTGAAGAAGGAGCTGGTGGCGAACAGGCAGCTCAGCATGGTGAACATTATCTGCAGGCTGTCATCCTATATCAGCCGGGAGGAGCATCCGAGAGGAGCAGATCCTGAATGGGTTGTTGGATACCAAGGGAGGAAAGGAGGCCTTGGCGGAGGAGACCGTTGGAGCTGGGAGTGGCCCTGCCGGACGCTACGCTGCTGGTGTCGGCCCTGGACAAGTTTGCGGCGGCGTTGTCGAAGTTGGATCAGCAGAGCAGCTACCGGATGTCAACGGTGAGGGCCGAGCTGAACCTGGATACTAGGCCGACGCAGGAAGGAGTTGAGAGCTTTGCGGAGTACCTCCAGGCGGAATCCAAGACGGCGGAGCTCTCAAAAAAAGGGAAGGAGGGGGCGCCCAAGATCAAGGCGACGGGTGTCACGGGCAAGGAGGAGACGGTCCCATGGAGGCAGCAGGGGCAAGGAGGAGCTACTCCGGGGAAGCAGAGGGTGGTGGACTTCACCAAGGCGTGCAAACGGTACGCCACGGATGCAGGCTGCCGGTTCGGGAAGAACTGCAAGTTCGCCCATGTGTGGGATAGCCTGGACAGGCAGCGGGAGAGGTGCTGGAACTGCGGGAGCCTGGAGCACAAGAAGGCGGAGTGTCCCGCCCTGGGCCTCAGGGTCAAGGGGGGTCTGGTGGTCAGGCGGCGAGCGGGACGAGTGGCGATGCAGATGACGGAGGGCCACACCTTGATCTGCCAGGAAGCCATGCAGGTGATCGTGCCGCTTGGGGCGCTGTGTCTGCTAGGCTACAATCTGACGCCCTGCCTGCAGACACGGCAACCGCACCAGAGCTGCCGTGCGACGCCCTGCCAGCAAAACAGGAGACCGTCCCCACCGAGCTGCCCAAGCCAAGGCCTTTGCCTTCGGAGCCGCAGAGGCCAGCCGCACCAGAGCTGCCGTGCGACGCCCGAGGAGGGGATCTGCCGGATAACATGCCAGCCGGGGGCCACTGCCGGTGAGGATGAGCCCTGACAGGGAATGGCCGGTCCGGTCCGGGCGGTCCGGTCCCAGACGGTCCGGTCTTCGCGTCCCGGTCCGGTCCGGGTCGGCCCGGGCCTCGCGGGCTGGAACTACTCAAGGCCAGCACTTAATCTGGGGACGAACCCCGGGCCAGCAAAAAACAGTTATTTGAACGACCTTTGGGACGTCTGCACTATCTGGTTCGTTAGCGCTACATTCACATAAGGTCTGTGTTTTGTATGAGTACGAAGTTTCTCCATCTGCGAGAGGTCATTTGTAAACATCGGAACCCCATCCTCAACCGGACTGTGCGTTTGTGCAATGTTTTGGGGGGGTCCCCCAATTCACGATTAGAGCGGGAGGCGCGCACTCACAGTCGAAAAGGGAATACGTGATGCGGTTCCGGGATGGGATTCCGACGGGACCCTTTCGCTTTTTTGGTACCCTTTTGCTTTTTGTGAAGTTAGGTGACTGAAATCTAACTGTCAACCCAGTTGGTCACTTGAAACGACACAGCAGCTTTGAAGGCACTTTGAAGTTCCAGGGGACCAACAACCAAGATTGCTCTGCAGGGCCAATGAGTGTTTGAGTTGCCAGAGGAGCTGTATTCCTTTTTCGGGTGTTTTGGTCCCAAATCGTAAAAGAATGCATCTCAAATGCGTTTGTGTGATATGGTTGCAGTCGCTGTGCTCACAAGCGGCAGAACTTGTAGTAGCCGCGGCCAATTTCTGTGTCCTCGCCATGCCGAAGAGTCGTGCCACTGCCAAGCAACGTGCGCCCAATGCCTTTCAGTTGTGGATGCGGGAGGAGGGCGCGAGCGTGCCGAGTGAGCCTGGTAAGAAACGCCTGACGCACCTTGCTCAAGTGTGGAAGATGCTTGATCCCGATAAGAAAGAGGAGTTCCAGAGCCGGGCAAAGGACAAGGCCGACTCCTTGCAACAAATCTTCAGCAGTGCGCAGAAGGAGCGCATGCTGAAAAAGACCTTTGTCAAGGAGGAAACGATGGTGCCAGTAACCTATGCCCTCAAGGCCGGCATGGAAAGGCGCTTCTCCTTCGCCCAGGTCATGCGGGAAGATGGCCCAGCCGACATGCACGTAACTCCTCCGAACCTTAGCTGGGCGCAATTCCAAGCCACCCAGAAAAGAGTGTCAAATCATCATAACCCCTCGTGTGTGCCTTTCTGGACGATCCTTTGATTCCCTTTTTCAATGTTTCGTTCCCGAACCCCCCCAAAAAGGAATCAATCCTCATCAGCTTTTTTTTTGACCTCTCAAAAAGGAACCAACGCCTCAACAGCACTTGTCTGGTGGGCGTTTCTGAACAATCCCTTGATCACATTTTCCAACATTTCGGCCCCAAGCCTGTTGAAAAGGAATCAGGCCTTTGATTCCCTTTTCCATTGATTCGGTTCCAAACCTCCCGAAAAGGAATCAAAGGCTTGTCTCGGCGTTTCTGAACGATCTTGATCACACTGTCCAAGGTTTCGGCCCCAAACTGCTGAAAAGGAATCCAGGCCGTTGATTCCCTTTTCTATTGATTCGGTCCCAAACCTCCCAAATAGGAATCAAATCCTCAAATCCTCATCCGTGGCTGTTGGGACCCTCTGGTCCTAGGTTGACCCCTTGACTTTGATTCCCTTTTCCAAGGTTTTGGTCCCAAACTTCCCAAAAAGGAATCAATTCCTCAACAGTGGCTTTTGGGCCCCTCTGGTCTTTGGTGATCCGTTGACTTTGATTCCCTTTTCCAAAGTTTCGGCCCCAAACTTGCTGAAAAGGAATCAAATCCTAACGAATGGACCTGACTGAGGTTGATCCCGTGAAACCCTTTTCCAAAGTGTTGGTCCCAAATCAAATTTTGGTGCTGAGGTTGGCTTCCACTGCGATGACTGCAAGGTGCTAAGCCACGGGATTTCCGTTCTGGCTTGCTGCCCAGAGTGCTTCATGAGCGTGGTGCCAGCAGAGTGCCTTGCCAAGTTGATGGGAGTTGTCGCTTTTTTAACTTGTTCTTTAATTGTGTGCAACTACCCCTATGTTCTGGTACTAAGGTATAATTCTGCTCACAAAGCCTGGGAGCTCAAGCCTCGGCTGAAGCTCCCATCCGCGGGGCATTGGTGGTCTCAAGAGGCCCGGAAGAAGATGGAGGCCATTGAGAAGGGGCTGAGCCCCGCGGATGTCAACAACATGGTCCGCACAACTCTTGAGGGACTGGGCAACTCTGTGGCGCAGGACATCGCCTTGCAAAAGGAGGCGCTCGACATGTTGAAGTGGGCGACCGAATGCATGGTCACCGACCTGTTCCATAGGGCTGGATTGATGTGCAAGCACAGAAAGCGGAAGAGCTGCAACGAAGCCGATCTCAAGCTGGCAGCCCTCACAAGTGACGAAAGCCGCATGGCCATGCATCTCTTGGCCATTCAAGAGGGAATGGTGGAGGAAGCGAAGAAGGAGGAAAGGCGACGCGCAAGAAGCGCAGACTCCGCATCCCGCCGCCGACGCCCAGTGAGCCGGACATGTCGGACATGGCTGCCCAAGCAGCTGCTGAGCAAGCTGAGCAAGCAACGCTTGTGTAGACTTGCAGTGCCGTGCTTACAGAGCAGCCGCCTCGTGAGCCTGCAGCGGTTAGTGTTTGTTTGACACACACTCACCTGAGTGTGCTTGGCCATGGAGCCCAAATTTGGGGTTTTTTGGCACACACACACACATACTTGTGCGTGCGTTTTGTTTGAGATGTTTGGGGAGCCTAGGCTGGCATTGGGGGTTGAAATGTGGCAGCTTGTGTTGCTGACATGCCGTTTCGCTCCGAGTTGCGCTAACTGGGTGAGTTTTAGACAGAGCAA